CAGTCCATCCCACTCCTATCAATTTGGCACCAGTGCCAGCAAGAGATGCCCAGAGCCTGAAGAGAGATCACAGGTCAGCAGAAAAGCACCAGAACAACACAAAGGATTTCCAGCTACTCCAGCCAGTAAGTCAGCTTCATTAGGGTCTCAAATCCAAAGTCTTTATGCAATAGTAAAGAAGAAGAGTTAGTGATGTAGGCATGCCTATGACCTCATTGGTATGTCATGGACACATAGTGGGATGGCTCCAAAGAGTGGAGAGTTGGAACGGAAGGATACAGGCTCTTCAGGAAAGACTGGAAGGGTAGACAAGGAGGTGGTGTTGCCCTCTATGTCAATGACCAGCTGGAGATCATACAGCTTTACCTGTGAGTGGATGAAGCTGACAGAGATTTAATGGGTCAGCATTAAAGGCAGGCAAGGGAGAGGTGACTTTATAGTGGGGGCTGCTACAGATTGTCTGACCAGGAACACAGAAAAGACGAGGCCCCTTACAAACAGAGAGGAGCAGCCTCACATACACAAACCTTGCTCCTCATGGGGAATTTCAACCACCCTAATATCTGTCAACACAGCAGCACATTAACAATCCAGAAGCTTCCTCGAATGCACTGATCATATAACTTCCTTCTTCAAGTGGTAAGAGGAGGCAAGGAGAAGAGGTACTATGCCGGACCTTTTTCTCCCAACAAGGAGGGGCTGGTGGGGAAACAAAGCTGGTTGGTATTCAAGGATCACCTTCTCCAAGCTCAGTAGTGATTATCTCAACAAAGAGGAAGTCAGGCAAAAATGTCAGGATGGCCTTAGATGAACAAGTAACTCCTGGATGGACTCAAACACTAAAAGAAAGGCTACAGAGGGTGGACGTAACAAGTATCCTGGGAGGAAAAGAGGTTTTCTGAGCAGCACAAGTTTATGAAACTGTGAAAGCTAAAGCTTCGCTTGAAAAGAGGAAATACAGCCTACATTTGTAAAAAGGCAAATAAGAAAGACCTAGGGAACTGTAAGTCTGGAAGTCCCACCTTGGCTCCCAGTAAGATTATGAAGCAGATGGCTTCACTGAAGGCAAATCATGCCTCACAAATTTAATGGCCTTCTACAACAGTTACAGAAATGGGGGTTAAGAAGAGAGCAACTGATGTCATCTATCAGGACTTGTGCAACGCATGACTTTGCACAACAGTTCCTTGTCTGACCACAAAACTTCCTTGTGCCTCAACTGGAGACATGAATTTGATGGGTGGACCTCTAGCTGGATGGTCACATTCAAAGACTTGTGGTCAACAGCTTGATGTCCAAGTGTAGACCAATAATGAGCAGGGTTCTGTAAGGATAAGAACTGGTAGCTGTTAAACATCCTTGTTGGTGGCATGGACAGTGGAATCAACTGTGCCCTCTGCAAGTTCGATAACACCAAGCTGTGTGTCAGTCAACACACCTGGATGGAAATGATACCATCCAGAAGGACCTGGACAGACTGAGTGGTGGACCATTCCATGATTCTGTGAAATCCAAAAGATAACATCCCTTAAGGGAATATTATTCCTAAGCCAGGTGAACTTTGCAGTACATAGTATATTCTGCATATTTATTTAGTTGTGTTGTACAGCACTTACTATAGCTACATCTGTGCAGTCAGACTGTCTGCTACTGTTGAGGAACATGGTCACGGAGGTAGCTCGGGGTGCAGCTGCAGTGGGAGCTGCAGGCTGAGCTCTGGCTGGTGGAGCTCAGGCAAAAAGGCCGTGGAGAGCCGACCCTCGGCACAACAGGGGCCCAGGGACCCGTGGCCCAGCCAGGGGAGCGGATGCCGAGACACGGCAGGAGCCGATGGCCCCAGACCTTCCCGTGCCTAGACTGGTGAGGGGATAAAAGCCCAGGGGTTCCTTTGTTCCAGGTCCCTCCTGAGAGGGACCAGCTCGAGCTGTTGGTTTGTTACTGCACTGTAATGAAGTTATTTTAAGGCTCAGGAGACTGAGACTCTGCTATAGGAAACTGGGGTCCACCCAGTGAGGAAACCTGCTCTGACAGTGGGAATGTAGGGGCTGTAGCTGGGAAGGCACCTCAGCCCCAACTCAGGTGGTGCAAGAGTGACCACCAGAGTGGCTCCTGGATGGTCGGACTGGGAAGTTTCTTCGACACTACACCTGTAACCAATTTATGTACATCAAGATAGTATCTGGCAAGCTACTATTAGACTGATTTTTTCAAAAATAATTCAGAGGGAAAATTTGAGAAAGTTCACTAGTGAATACTTAGATCATGGTACAAACATACTCTTTCTTCTAGAAAGAGAATCATACAATTTAGATTAACAAAAACAGTTATGAGTGGCAAAACATTACAGCAGAAACAAATTCTGCGATAGTTAGAAGTAAATATATTTCATGTTTGAAAGAAATCAATCTTCAAAATGTGGTAAAGTAAAATCCAATTAATTTTCAATTAATTTATGTGAAAGAAAACACTAGGGGAAAAAAGCTTAAAATTAAATTCACCTTTTTAAAATATGATCAGAAGTCATTAGTATTCATCTGTACACTCATGGCAAAACCCAACTGCATCTCAGCTCATTCCCCAAAGAGAGATGAAGATTCAGTATCAAACATTTTTTTCATACTTACAAAGGAAAGAATGATAGCATTCTATTACTTTAATACTTTCAAGTATTAAAAACAAAGAAATGCAGAAACCCAAGAGAATATTCTGATACAGCCAGTGTCTCTCAAAGTCAGATGAACTCCAGAAAATTAACTGGATTTGCCGTTTGGCCTAGGTTTGTTTGACTTTTTAGTATATTTTTTCT